AGCCCATCCAATCCAATCCAATCCAACCTCATCCAATCTAATCTAATCTAATCTCCAATCCAATCCAACCCAATCCAATCTAATCTAATCTAATGCCAATCCAATCCAACCCAACCCAACCCAATCCAATCCAATCTAATCTAATCTACTCTAATCTAATCCAATCAAATCTAATCCAATCCAATCCAATTCAGTCCAATCCAATCCAATCCAGTCAAATCCAATCTATCTAATCTAATCTAATCTAATCCAATCCAATCTAATTCCAATCCAATCTATCTAATCTAATCTAATCCAACCCAACCCAATCCAATCCAATCCAAGCCAACCCAATCCAATCCAACCTATCTAATTTAATCTAATCTAATCCAATCTAATCTAATCCAATCCCTCAGTCCCTCACCCCAGCCTGTAAAGACCTCTGTGGTATATGGGGATTTCTCAAAATGAGGCGCGCCCTTTTTGACCCCCAAAACGCTACTTTAAAGAGGAAAAAAGGGCGCGCCTCATTTTGAGACATTTCCATATGGGTGGGATATATTGAGATGTACTAGGGGAAACTGGGGTTTATAGTCAACAATGTCAATATCAAAAAACGTACTCATTGGCTGCCTTTGTTTTTTCATAGTCTTCTGGCATGTTTTCAAAAATAAGTCAAAGACAAAATTGCTTAATCCATGCCCCAAGCCCCTAACCTTCCCCCAAGGATACCTGCATTTTCCTTGGTTTTTACATGGTTTCTAATGGAACCACAGACCTAAAGCAAGCAGAAACAACCACAAACAAATTTGCAATCCCTAAGGGGGGAAAAGTGGCAAAGAGTTAGATCCTGCCACTTTTTTTGCCAGTCCCTCAAAAGAAACAACGAACCAAGAAAGCAAAACACCAAGAAACCAAAAAAAACAAAAAAAACAAAAAACAAGATTGCACACCTCAAGGGGAGGGGGTCAGATGCAGAGTGTTGGGTCTTGTCTTTTTTTTTTGTTTCTTGTTTTTTTTTTGTGTTTTGGTTTCTCTTTTTTGTCTTTGTAAAAAGAAAAGAAACTGCAAAGGTGAGATTGCAAAGAGCAAACTAACCCATTGCAGGTGCACAAAAAAACCTAAAAAGGCGCACTCCCACAGTGGCCTGTTCTGTTTAAAGACCAGTTGCACATTCCCTCAGCCATGGAAGCGGTGAAAACCGCTCATTTTGCAAAAAAAGAACTTCGAAGCGGCTCAACCGCTGTAATTAGAAAACATATTGTTTTCGATACAGTAAAAACAAATGTTTTTTCAATTTTTCTAAATTATAAAAATGTGACAAAATAGTTGATATTTGCTTCACTTCATAACTTTTCATAACTTTTTGTATAACTAAAGTTATAACTACTTATAACTCTATAGGAGCACCAAAGTAGGTTCTGCGGATGCAGTGGCAGCAGTCGCAGTCGCAGTCGCAGGTCCATCAACAGGATCCTGCTGCGACTGGGCTTGATCACGCAATCGGATTCTGAGTTCAGTTCGGAACTTCCAATCATGAAAAGATGCGGCATCACCCCAATAGATGTATGACCCCGATTTAGTCTCTTGTGGGGATCCGGCAATTCTATTGGATGTTCCTGGCTGAAACTTAAGTCCGGCAATGGACATTTCGGCGGATGCTGGGTTGTGCCACATGGATCAACTGATTGCAGGGCTGTCTCACACTACTGAGTACAGCCGATTTCGGAGAACGAGTGCTCAAAGTCTGACGGTTGGATGAAAAAGAGCGAGGACAAGAAAGCGGTCACTGGATCTGCAACGTGCCCGGATGCAGGTCGTCACCTGCTCCGCTACCAATGTGAATTTGACACGGTATCGCGCAGTCCAAAAAGCAAAACAAGCCTTTTTCACAGCGCGTATGGCTTAAAGGGCACTACGATCCGATACAGCAGCGGATAGATGTGTCAACCTGGCTGCACACATGAGTGAAAGACATGGTAGAATTCACGCATCGTTTTTTTGACGGTTCTTAAGTGAAACAATGAACAAATCCAAGTTAACATAGTTCTTCATATCTTGGAAATAGCTCTTAGAAACAAACGTCTGAGCAAAATCCTTTGTCCAATAGCTCCGAACATGTTGCAAATAGTCCTGGAAATCGACCTACACCTTCACTGAGAGGCCAAATACACAGGGAGGTGAGGGTCCTAAGTCCTAAGGCGTTCTGTTGGTGTGTTTGTGTTTGTTTGTTGTTGTGGTGGTGGTGATTGTAAGTTGTTGGTTGTTGTTATTAGTTGGCAGTTGGTAGCTCTCTCATTTCGTCTACAGTTATATTTCCCAATGGTTCCCATCAATTTCGGTATATTCAATATTCTTGAAAACAGGAACTCTCAGCGGCACAGTGCCTGCACGTGTTGCAGTTTGAACCTTTCATTTTACATCATATCTGAAGCATTTGGGAGCTGGAACCCCAAGGTGTTTACGGGCCCGCCTGTCCGCCTAGTGTTGCACCCGGGTATTGAACCCAGGTCTGACGCATGAGGGATGCACTAGTCCATACCGGCCCTCTTTGGGAGCTGGAACCTCTGAGTTTGTATGGTTTTCGCCGCATTTTGAAACTCGAACTTATCATTTTTCTGATGTGCAGCATCTTGAAATTCAAACATTTCATTTTGCATGGTATTTCTCTCCTTTTCTTCGCTCCTCGGACCGAAGAAGCCCAAAGCCAAAAGCCACACGAGCCAGAAGTCAGAAGCCAGAAGCCAAAAGCTAGCTCAAAAAATAGAGTCTTAAAAAACGCAAAAAAAAATCAGGAGAAAAGAGGAGAGGAGAGGTGAAGAGAAGAGAAAAGAGAAGAGAAGAGAACAGAGAAGAGAAGAGAAAAGAGAAGAGAAAAGAGAAGAGAAAAGAGAAGAGAAAAGAAGAGAGAAGAGAAGAGAAAAGAGAAGAGAAAAGAGAAGAGAAAAGAGAAGAGAAAAGAAGAGAGAAGAGAAGAGAGAAGAGAAGAGAGGAGAAGAGAGAAGAGAAGAGAGGAGAAGAGAGAAGAGAAGAGAACAGAGAAGAGAAAAGAGAAAAGAGAAGAGAGAAGAGAGAAGAGAAGAGAAAAGAGAAGAGAAAAGAGAAGAGAAGAGAACAGAGAAGAGAAAAGAGAAAAGAGAAGAGAGAAGAGAGAAGAGAAGAGAAAAGAGAAGAGAAAAGAGAAGAGAAAAGAGAAGAGAAGAGAAAAGAGAAGAGAAGAGAAAACCAAAAACAAAAACAAGAAGCTGAGGAAAGAAAGGAAAAGACAAGAAAAGAACAAAAAACTTGAATTCCATTCATATAGCTATTGCGTCGTCCTAAAGCATTGAATTGTTTTAGATTTTTGGAACTTCCGCCGTCCGGCTTGAAAGGCTATATGGCTAATGTGTATATATATATATAAATATGCTATATGCCATCGACTGGACTGTACTTTCCATTTCATACACAGACCAATACAAGTACAGATACTGTAGACCTCTCAGCAACACAGCGACAAATTGCCTACAAATTCAAACGTAAAAGGCCACGCTTGGCTGTAGATGTAGCCATGCAAGAGAGACGCTCCATGCGGTTTGCCCCAAGCTGCTCAAGTTCCTTTTCGTGCTGAGATCAGCCTATCAGCGACGTTGGTGCTCATCCACCAGAAACAAAATGATCCTGCACTCCATGCAAAGGATCATTCTGGCCAGCAAAGCATGCCTTCTGCATGACTGTCCTTTGCTATCTTCGAAAAAAATGTTTCTCCAATACCTAGGTGACAAAAAAAGAACAGGCCAAACTTTATACGGTCATTTCAGTGGATTCTGCAGCTTGGGGCTTCTCCCCAGCTGGCTCAGATGTCTTATCCGCAGATGTCTTATCCGCAAAGGTCTTATCCGATCTTATCCACAGCTGGGCCTTGGAACATGCCCCCATGCTCCCGCCAGTAGTAGCAAGGGGACAGCAAAGCCCAAAAAATGACATGTCCTGTCCTGCATGGACCTGGAAAGGAAGCAGCGGATCGTTGATGGGTTTGCAGAAGCAAAACCCAGGGATAACAACTCCCAAATTTCCGCAAGCCCCAACCAGTGCAGACACCACCGCCAGCTGCTGCTTGTTCATGAAAGGCACAATTCCACAGTTGTACCTTCTGCCATCTGGACAAAGAGAGGGAGAAACAAATCAACTCGGCCAAAGCAACATACCATGGCTGCGAGCTGTCCACCATGCAGAAGAGGAAGACCGCTTCAAAGAAAAGGGCCAAGAATTGCGCCCAAATGCGACCTCGGAAACCAACGTACTTGAAGAGGACGTCACTGGTGATGCCTCCCAGGGACCTAGAAAACAGGTTCATGAGGCCAAAAGCTCCTGCCAAGGCTGATGCATCTGCCGCATCCATTTGGAAATAGGTCCTGAAATGGGTGGCCAGTTGGTTGTTCATAGCGAGTTCGGTGCCGAATCATGCACTGTATTGAAAAATCATCACAATGATGCGGATGTCTTTCAGCACCGCGACATAGTCCCACAAAGATGGTTTCTGGGTCTTACCCGTCACAGACACATCGAAGCGCTTGGCCGTGGGTGTGTCCCAACACAAGAGTTTCATGGTGGCTGCGCAAATCAGGAAAAGGACAGCAGGAACGATCATGGCAACCCGCCAGGCAGTGTTTGCTGGCATGCCAGAACTCACCATTGGATTGAACAGCACTGAGATTATAAACATCTGTGTAACACCGCTGCCCAAGTTCCCCCAGCCAGCTGCTGTGGCATTGGCCATGCCAACCACGTTTGGGGAAGACATCAAAAAGGACCAGAACTGGTTGGTGACAAAGGTAGCTCCTGCAGGGTGTGTCCTCGAAAATACTATTCTGTGCTGAAAACAAATGCATACATACTATTACATACTACTAATGTCACCGATGTCTTTTGGGGTAAGGGCTATATAACCAATCAAACCAGGTTCATTCATTGAGTGACCACCTTGGTCGATTTGGTTGCACGTGTTCATCTCACCTTTACTCATTATATCTCATTATTAATCACCGAAACAATCTCTCCCTGCTGTGAAGCTGCCAACCTGCCTTGATGTAGGCATGGAGGGCGTACTCTGGGCCACTGTTCAACTTGCAGCCAGAAAGTCGGAAAGACTGCCTGAAGTCGGCATCGCTAAAGGAATCGCCGGCATCGCTCCAAAAACGACTTCATGATACTTCACACAAATAAACAATGCCGGGTGCCAGATGTGCCAGATGTGCCAGATGTGCCAGTTAAAGTCAATTGAATGATGCCATCACGGCGGCACATCATTGAACAAGTCTTGCCATCTACTAGCACCGATAGTGTGCATTGCAGTCATCAAAGGAAAGGACCGTCCAAGAAATCCAAGGGAGAACTTCTGATAAAAAGACCAAAATTGGTGATTCTATTGTCCAGAGACAGACATTGTTCCTTTCCTAATCTGGCCAAAGCACAAGGAAGAGTCGACATAAAGAAGCAACCTGCAGCTTGTGCTTCCAACTGCTCCTTGTCCAGCCTGAAAGAGTGGTAGTCGCTCAAGACTAAAGTCGAAGTCGGTCATCAAACACCAAATCACATGAACACTATTTTGATGCCTACATAAAAGCACACAAACCTTACAGCAAGGACTTCAACCCTCCATGTATTTCCTGCAGCATTCACTGGCTCGCGTGTGTTGTACGTTGAAAAGCCACGTTTTATCTGCCTTGATCAGATCAATGGTCAGAGCAACAGGTCCCACAGCGATGATCAGCCAAAGGTAGCCCGCAGACCTGCATCGACAGGCGCAAGTCGTGACACAAAACAGGAAGATCCACCTTCCTCCCATGAGGATGGTCATCTCACCTTTGATACCTTTGATTTTGGATGATTTTGGCCTGGCTGAATTTTTATTAGCAACAACAACCAAATCCAGAGCGTCGATTTTCCACTGCTCTTCTGGGTTTGGAGGTGGTTTTCCGCAGTAACTCCAACCAACAAGCTCTGTGCTCAGCAATGCAGTCACCACGTTGGTGCACAAACTGCGAGAAAGCTTACAATTCAGCTGCTTGTTTTTTTCAAGCTCTGTGCAGCTGAAAGGTCGTACAAATGGCGCCCAAAGGGTGCGACCGACCAAGCCGTGCAACTTTACAATTTCAGACCTAGAACGAATTAGAGAAACACATCCATGCACCAGCGGCCGCTCTGGTGTTGAGGTTGGCATTCTACAACTCCCGCTCCATAGTTGCAGCAGTAGACGTAGCGGTGCTTGTAGCAATAGGTGCCGACGTGAAGCTGTCTCTGGCAAAAGCTGCTAGCCTGTCTTGTTTTATAGAACCCAAGGCTTTTCAGCTTGGATAAGTCAGCCTTCTCGGCTGCACAAGTGCCTGAGTTTGCAGTTGAACCGCATTTGGCATAGCCATCCTCCAACTTGCAGCAGCGAATGCGAGTGGTGCCATCGCAGAAGAAACCTGTCTTGTGAACGTTGCAGAACTGATAGTCCTGCCAAGCTTTCAAAGACACCAAGCTGCCAAGGCTACCCTGGGTGGCATTAGGAACCTTGGACCTCCAAGCTGGCATGGCATGCGCAGGCTTTTCGGCATCAGCGTCACTTGGCGCTTCTTTGTATGGCCCTGGAGTGTCTGGCAAGCCCCTCTCATCTGGCAACTCAGTCAGCTCAGGGGAATGACCAGTTGCGTCCTCTGCACTGGTCAAGGCCGTCAAGGCCAAAGCCACCAGTACCAAGCACGTTCGGCAAGACATGACGTCACACTGGGACGAATGGCTGAACGAACTGGAAACTGAAACAACTCAAGCAGAAACGCAGAAACACATCATTACCAGCATCAATGATGGATCATCTTCTTATCTTCCATCCCCAAGCTGTCTTCAAACCATCTTCAAGCAAAGCAGCTCACTCACAGCTCGTTTGAGGAGTCAATAACACTGATTCAACATGGCCATCCAAACAGCAGGGCATTTTCCAGAAGTGTCACAACCAACCACAAAAAAAAGGCGGGAAAATAGCCTGTCCTTGTGATTGGAGCACCTAGGAATGCATGTGTATCTTCAAGACACGATCATGAGGATGGTCATCCCACCTTTGATTTTGGTCTGGCTTCAATAAAGCAACTACACAAAATCCGGAGCGTCGATTTTCCACTGCTCTTCCGGGTTTGGAGGTGGTTTTCCGCAGTAACTCCAACCAACAAGCTCTGTGCTCAGCAATGCAGTCACCAGGTTGGTGCACAAACTGCGAGAAAGCTTACAATTCAGCTGCTTGATTTTTCAAGCTCTGTGCAGCTGAAAGGTCGTACAAATGGCGCCCAAAGGGTGCGACCGACCAAGCCGTGCAACTTTACAATTTCAGACCTAGAACGAATTAGAGAAACACATCCATGCACCAGCGGCCGCTCTGGTGTTGAGGTTGGCATTCTACAACTCCCGCTCCATAGTTGCAGCAGTAGACGTAGCGGTGCTTGTAGCAATAGGTGCCGACGTGAAGCTGTCTCTGGCAAAAGCTGCTAGCCTGTCTTGTTTTATAGAACCCAAGGCTTTTCAGCTTGGATAAGTCAGCCTTCTCGGCTGCACAAGTGCCTGAGTTTGCAGTTGAACCGCATTTGGCATAGCCATCCTCCAACTTGCAGCAGCGAATGCGAGTGGTGCCATCGCAGAAGAAACCTGTCTTGTGAACGTTGCAGAACTGAAAGTCCTGCCAAGCTTTCAAAGACACCAAGCTGCCAAGGCTACCCTGGGTGGCATTAGGAACCTTGGACCTCCAAGCTGGCATGGCATGCGCAGGCTTTTCGGCATCAGTATGGCCCTGGAGTGTCTGGCAAGCCCCTCTCATCTGGCAACTCAGTCAGCTCAGGGGAATGACCAGTTGCGTCCTCTGCACTGGTCAAGGCCGTCAAGGCCAAAGCCACCAGTACCAAGCACGTTCGGCAAGACATGGCGTCACACTGGGACGAATGGCTGAACGAACTGGAAATTGAAACAACTCAAGCAGAAACGCAGAAACACATCATTACCAGCATCAATGATGGATCATCGTCTTATCTTCCATCCCCAAGCTGTCTTCAAACCATCTTCAAGCAAAGCTTACTCACAGCTCGTTTGAGGAGTCAATAACACTGATTCAACACGGCCATCCAAACAGGGCATTTTCCAGAAGTGTCACAACCAACCACAAAAAAAAGGCGGAAAAATAGCCTGTCCTGGTGATTGGAGCACCTAGGAATGCATGTGTATCTTCAAGACACGATCATGAGGATGGTCATCCCACCTTTGATTTTGGTCTGACTTCAATAAAGCAACTACACAAAATACGAAGCGTCGATTTCCCACTGCTCTTCCGGGTTTGGAGGTGTTTTTTCCGCAGTAACCCCAACCAACAAGCTCTGTGCAGCTGCAATGCAGGGTCAGCAATGCAGTCAGCAGGTTGGTGGACAAACTGCGAGAAAGCTTACAATTCAGCTGCTTGCTTTTTTCAAGCTCTGTGCAGCTGAAAGGTCGTACAAATGGCGCCCAAATGGCGCGACCGACCAAGCCGTGTGCAACTTTACAATTTCAGACCTAGAACGAATTAGACGAACACATCCATGCACCAGCGGCCGCTCTGGTGTTGAGGTTGGCATTCTACAACTCCCGCTCCATAGTTGCAGCAGTAGACGTAGCGGTGCTTGTAGCAATAGGTGCCGACGTGAAGCTGTCTCTGGCAAAAGCTGCTTGCCTGTCTTGTTTTATAGAACCCAAGGCTTTTCAGCTTGGATAAGTCAGGCTTCTCGGCTGCACAAGTGCCTGAGTTTGCAGTTGAACCGCATTTGGCATAGCCATCCTCCAACTTGCAGCAGCGAATGCGAGTGGTGCCATCGCAGAAGAAACCTGTCTTGTGAACGTTGCAGAACTGATAGTCCTGCCAAGCTTTCAAAGACACCAAGCTGCCAAGGCTACCCTGGGTGGCATTAGGAACCTTGGACCTCCAAGCTGGCATGGCATGCGCAGGCTTTTCGGCATCAGCGTCACTTGGCGCTTCTTTGTATGGCCCTGGAGTGTCTGGCAAGCCCCTCTCATCTGGCAACTCAGTCAGCGCAGGGGAATGACCAGTTGCGTCCTCTGCACTGGTCAAGGCCGTCAAGGCCAAAGCCACCAGTACCAAGCACGTTCGGCAAGACATGACGTCACACTGGGACGAATGGCTGAACGAACTGGAAACTGAAACAACTCAAGCAGAAACGCAGAAACACATCATTACCAGCATCAATGATGGATCATCTTCTTATCTTCCATCCCCAAGCTGTCTTCAAACCATCTTCAAGCAAAGCAGCTCACTCACAGCTCGTTTGAGGAGTCAATAACACTGATTCAACATGGCCATCCAAACAGCAGGGCATTTTCCAGAAGTGTCACAACCAACCACAAAAAAAAGGCGGGAAAATAGCCTGTCCTTGTGATTGGAGCACCTAGGAATGCATGTGTATCTTCAAGACACGATCATGAGGATGGTCATCCCACCTTTGATTTTGGTCTGGCTTCAATAAAGCAACTACACAAAATCCGGAGCGTCGATTTTCCACTGCTCTTCCGGGTTTGGAGGTGGTTTTCCGCAGTAACTCCAACCAACAAGCTCTGTGCTCAGCAATGCAGTCACCAGGTTGGTGCACAAACTGCGAGAAAGCTTACAATTCAGCTGCTTGATTTTTCAAGCTCTGTGCAGCTGAAAGGTCGTACAAATGGCGCCCAAAGGGTGCGACCGACCAAGCCGTGCAACTTTACAATTTCAGACCTAGAACGAATTAGAGAAACACATCCATGCACCAGCGGCCGCTCTGGTGTTGAGGTTGGCATTCTACAACTCCCGCTCCATAGTTGCAGCAGTAGACGTAGCGGTGCTTGTAGCAATAGGTGCCGACGTGAAGCTGTCTCTGGCAAAAGCTGCTTGCCTGTCTTGTTTTATAGAACCCAAGGCTTTTCAGCTTGGATAAGTCAGGCTTCTCGGCTGCACAAGTGCCTGAGTTTGCAGTTGAACCGCATTTGGCATAGCCATCCTCCAACTTGCAGCAGCGAATGCGAGTGGTGCCATCGCAGAAGAAACCTGTCTTGTGAACGTTGCAGAACTGATAGTCCTGCCAAGCTTTCAAAGACACCAAGCTGCCAAGGCTACCCTGGGTGGCATTAGGAACCTTGGACCTCCAAGCTGGCATGGCATGCGCAGGCTTTTCGGCATCAGCGTCACTTGGCGCTTCTTTGTATGGCCCTGGAGTGTCTGGCAAGCCCCTCTCATCTGGCAACTCAGTCAGCTCAGGGGAATGACCAGTTGCGTCCTCTGCACTGGTCAAGGCCGTCAAGGCCAAAGCCACCAGTACCAAGCACGTTCGGCAAGACATGACGTCACACTGGGACGAATGGCTGAACGAACTGGAAACTGAAACAACTCAAGCAGAAACGCAGAAACACATCATTACCAGCATCAATGATGGATCATCGTCTTATCTTCCATCCCCAAGCTGTCTTCAAACCATCTTCAAGCAAAGCAGCTCACTCACAGCTCGTTTGAGGAGTCAATAACACTGATTCAACATGGCCATCCAAACGGCAGGGCATTTTCCAGAAGTGTCACAACCAACCACAAAAAAAAGGCAGAAAAATAGCCTGTCCTTGTGATTGGAGCACCTAGGAATGCATGTGTATCTTCAAGACACGATCATGAGGATGGTCATCCCACCTTTGATTTTGGTCTGGCTTCAATAAAGCAACTACACAAAATCCGGAGCGTCGATTTTCCACTGCTCTTCCGGGTTTGGAGGTGGTTTTCCGCAGTAACTCCAACCAACAAGCGAGCTCTGTGCTCAGCAATGCAGTCACCAGGTTGGTGCACAAACTGCGAGAAAGCTTACAATTCAGCTGCTTGTTTTTTTCAAGCTCTGTGCAGCTGAAAGGTCGTACAAATGGCGCCCAAAGGGTGCGACCGACCAAGCCGTGCAACTTTACAATTTCAGACCTAGAACGAATTAGAGAAACACATCCATGCACCAGCGGCCGCTCTGGTGTTGAGGTTGGCATTCTACAACTCCCGCTCCATAGTTGCAGCAGTAGACGTAGCGGTGCTTGTAGCAATAGGTGCCGACGTGAAGCTGTCTCTGGCAAAAGCTGCTTGCCTGTCTTGTTTTATAGAACCCAAGGCTTTTCAGCTTGGATAAGTCAGCCTTCTCGGCTGCACAAGTGCCTGAGTTTGCAGTTGAACCGCATTTGGCATAGCCATCCTCCAACTTGCAGCAGCGAATGCGAGTGGTGCCATCGCAGAAGAAACCTGTCTTGTGAACGTTGCAGAACTGAAGTCCTGCCAAGCTTTCAAAGACACCAAGCTGCCAAGGCTACCCTGGGTGGCATTAGGAACCTTGGACCTCCAAGCTGGCATGGCATGCGCAGGCTTTTCGGCATCAGCGTCACTTGGCGCTTCTTTGTATGGCCCTGGAGTGTCTGGCAAGCCCCTCTCATCTGGCAACTCAGTCAGCTCAGGGGAATGACCAGTTGCGTCCTCTGCACTGGTCAAGGCCGTCAAGGCCAAAGCCACCAGTACCAAGCACGTTCGGCAAGACATGACGTCACACTGGGACGAATGGCTGAACGAACTGGAAACTGAAACAACTCAAGCAGAAACGCAGAAACACATCATTACCAGCATCAATGATGGATCATCTTCTTATCTTCCATCCCCAAGCTGTCTTCAAACCATCTTCAAGCAAAGCAGCTCACTCACAGCTCGTTTGAGGAGTCAATAACACTGATTCAACATGGCCATCCAAACAGCAGGGCATTTTCCAGAAGTGTCACAACCAACCACAAAAAAAAGGCGGGAAAATAGCCTGTCCTTGTGATTGGAGCACCTAGGAATGCATGTGTATCTTCAAGACACGATCATGAGGATGGTCATCCCACCTTTGATTTTGGTCTGGCTTCAATAAAGCAACTACACAAAATCCGGAGCGTCGATTTTCCACTGCTCTTCCGGGTTTGGAGGTGGTTTTCCGCAGTAACTCCAACCAACAAGCTCTGTGCTCAGCAATGCAGTCACCAGGTTGGTGCACAAACTGCGAGAAAGCTTACAATTCAGCTGCTTGTTTTTTTCAAGCTCTGTGCAGCTGAAAGGTCGTACAAATGGCGCCCAAAGGGTGCGACCGACCAAGCCGTGCAACTTTACAATTTCAGACCTAGAACGAATTAGAGAAACACATCCATGCACCAGCGGCCGCTCTGGTGTTGAGGTTGGCATTCTACAACTCCCGCTCCATAGTTGCAGCAGTAGACGTAGCGGTGCTTGTAGCAATAGATGCCGACGTGAAGCTGTCTCTGGCAAAAGCTGCTAGCCTGTCTTGTTTTATAGAACCCAAGGTTTTTCAGCTTGGATAAGTCAGCCTTCTCGGCTGCACAAGTGCCTGAGTTTGCAGTTGAACCGCATTTGGCATAGCCATCCTCCAACTTGCAGCAGCGAATGCGAGTGGTGCCATCGCAGAAGAAACCTGTCTTGTGAACGTTGCAGAACTGATAGTCCTGCCAAGCTTTCAAAGACACCAAGCTGCCAAGGCTACCCTGGGTGGCATTAGGAACCTTGGACCTCCAAGCTGGCATGGCATGCGCAGGCTTTTCGGCATCAGCGTCACTTGGCGCTTCTTTGTATGGCCCTGGAGTGTCTCTGCACTGGTCAAGGCCGTCAAGGCCAAAGCCACCACATTTCACAACTTCGAAGCCTCACGACGCAGGGACTCCACTTCAGCCTGCTTGGTATCAACCTCCTCAACCTCCTCAACCTGATCGTCACGCAGCAGGAACCACACTTTTGAACCCTTACGGGGCCAAAAGCAGGATCTTACAACATGAGATATTCCGAATAGACACGCGGCTGCTGTCCTTTACTGAAGGATGATGTCTCTCCTTCTGTTGGTTCTCTGGGTTTAATTTTCAACTTTGTGATGACGAATTGGAACTGCCCGCTCTCGACATCCTGAGAACGAAAATTTAAATAAATGAAGAACAATCAAATCAGATAAAATGATCAAACCATAGAAAAGCCATATAAAACCATACAAAACCTGACCCAAAAGCATGACGTTTGCGAAGCTCGTCCCGAAGACAAGCAAAACAGACTGTATCAGATTGTCTTACTCACACCAAGCACCTACATGAAGCCACACTGTGACCCACTCGCCTTGCGCATCTCCTTGAACGCCGATGCCAAGCGGCCATCGCGGGCAGCTTTCAGCAGCGTGTCCCGGGCCTCGCAAAATGGTGCCCTTTTTGAAGTTTCTTAGAAGCAGTTTGAAGCGGTTTGAAGAAATTGGAAGTAGTCTGAAGCCAAGCACAGTATTACAAGTATATTTCACAACTTCGAAGCCTCACGACGCAGGGGCTCCACTTCAGCCTGCTTGGTATCAACCTCCTCAACCTCCTCAACCTCCTCAACCTGATCGTCACGCAGCAAGAATCACACCGTCATACTCTTTGATTTGATTGTTGTTGCAAACGAATCTTCATTTTTTCAATTGCCGTCTGCCAGCAAACGTTTAGTTTTCCTTGGGTTCTGGTGGTTCCTTGTGAGAGTGCGATGGTAACGCGCTCACGGGGCTGAGGAAGCCCCAAAGAAAGAGGGACTTGGAGAGAAAACAAGTTCAGAATGATGGGTCAAAGTGGGCCAAATGCAACAATGTGATAACAATGTGCAAGTTTGATCAATTTTGATGAGAATCTGATGGGAATCTGCTAGAATCCAATAGATTCGGGTTCCTCTCTCCGTGATGCCTTGGCTGTCTTTGGCTGTCTTAGCAGTAGCTGCAGGGCCGCAAGCAACTTTCCACTCTGCGCTTGGATCAAAGTTTGGCGAGCCTTCAGAGATGAAAAGTGATGCCATGCCCATGCTGGCCATACTTGGCGACTGGCGTCGAAAATGTCGAAAATGTCGAAATGGAATTTGAAAAATGTTGGACTTCGATCTGCCAAACGAGCTGCCATCTCATCGAAGCTCTCTTGCTGAGCTGCTGTATTGTCAACCTGGTCAGCCAATTTCAATCACATGCCATGTTCGCCATTTTGGCCGAGAACAAGCGGATGCTGAGCAATGTAGCAACGTGCGGAGTAATGCGTGACTCGTTGTGTCTGGATTTCAACAGCTCGGAATCACCTCTTCGAAAGACTCCTCATCCTGCTGAAGCGGACGACAGAAATTCTCTAAAGAAGTTTTCACAGTCTTCACAGTCTTCACATTCGAAAGGTCGAAAGGTGATGAAACATGTTGAGACCAAAAGTGCGGACAGAGGTAACTCGGTTACTCTGACGTTGCTGCGGTCCTCACTGAAGCCCTCAACTTCTTCAAAGTCCTGAACTGAAATCTCTTGAGAGGCATCTTGCGATGTGCAATCTGCAGTCAGATTCAGTTGCAGTTGGGCTTTCCAAACTACTCTGGACCAATGCAGTGACATGTTTTTCAGCACTTTTGCTGCGTCCTGAACCGCCTTCGCAACGTCAAGCTGTATGCCTCCGAAGCTTCTTGTAGACTCTAGTTTCTCTAGTTGACTCTAGTTCAAACATGTTCCTAGTAAGACAGTTATGAATCCATGACTCCAAGCGACAGCAACATGAAGGCCTTGTTGGACGACGCGGCTGGCAATTCGTGACGCCAAGTCAACCTTGGGGAAAAGATTGCCACGCAACTGTTCTCAGCAATGACTCCTCCCCAAAATTCAAAACCCGATCTGAGAAGTAAGCAGACTCAACAGACTCCTCCTGAAGTCAGAACACCAGGTCAGAACCACACCAGGCTTGGCACTCGTTTGAAACCACGAGTGACATGTGTGGACACAGTGGACACATGTCACGTGTGCTGTGGGCCTCAGTCTCGCTCTGCCCTGACAGGCTTAAAACATCATCCTGCCGTTACAAAGCCATCGCAAAGCGGGGATTGAGAAAGCATGAGCGAGCGACTGTCGGTCGTGAAAGATATTCGAAGCCCTTTGCATCTGTGAAATGGGCAAAGAAAGGTCCTCAATCTCATTGCCAATCTCATCAGCTGGAACCTCGTGGGCTTCAACCCGTTGATAGGCAAAACCAATCAAAATCGATGACGAGAGAGACATGAAAAATCACCATACAAAACGTAATTACTACACTGATCAGTTTGCATTGTTTGCTTTCTGCTATACGACTACGTCGGTTTCCTTCCCAGGAACAGCAGGAACAGCAGGAACAGCAGGGACAATGCGTGCATCTGCTTGCATCTGCTTGCATCTGCTTGCATCTGCTGCCAAGGCTTCCTGTCCATGTGTGTCCATGTGTGCCAACGTGCCAACGTGCCAACGACTATGATCCACTCCCGATTTTGTGGTTTCACCAAGCCCATGTGCAACACAGATCAACACAGCACATGATGTCCTTGTGATGTCCTTGATGAAATCATTGACCAGGGACAGTTCCAAGTTCCATCCGTTTTTAATCCGAAATCGTTTAATCCATTAGTTTAAACAGATACTGATTAGTTGTTAAATCGTTTAACTGTAATCCTTTTAGTTTTAAACAGTTCCATGCCGAGATGTGCCGAGACCCGAGTTACAACATCCGACAGCAACAGCCTTGGCAGCAGATGCACAATGACTCGGCAACTCGGCAATGCTCCTCAGCCGAATGCTCCATGCTCAGCCTTCAGCCTTCAGCCTTCAGCCTTCCTCAGCCTTCACAACTCCAATTTTCTCCAATTTTCAAGTCGAGTCCTCGAGGGAGCGGTGTTGAAAGCGACATGATAGATCTGATAGATCTGATAGATCCAGGTAAAAGACGCAAAAAGACGCAAGACAAATGTAAAACGATGTTAAAAACTTCGACGTGTACAACTTGCAACAACTTGCAACACAACTTGCAACACAACTTGCAACGGCTTGTAATATTTGCAATCAGTGTAATCATAAGTTTAGATTCTTAAAGAGATTCCACACTAGAACGGGTTTGCACTGGTTTGCACTGGTTGCACGGTAGTAAAGCATTGCATTGTGCGAAAAAATCAGCCTCATGTGGACCGTGTTGGACACGGCTGCGCAAAGGCCTGGCTGACGAGTTTCGAAAAACACTGCGCCAGAGCATCTCCATTTCCAAGTCCCAAAAATGCCGAAAAAAAAACAACAAAAGTCCGAAATTCAGATGTCCTTAGTATTCCTTAGTAATATTCTACTTCTTACAAATTTTTTGGCTGTTTCAACAATGCTCCACTTTAGCGGTTTGGAGTGTGACCAGGGCACGTGGAAACGCGAGACTGCTCTGTGTCTGCGTCTCTGTCCCCCTCTTTTTGCATTTACATATATTGAAATATGTTTTAAAAAATGAAATCTCTTCGTTTCCTTAAGTCTCTTTGTTTCTTCGTGTTTCTTCGTGTTTCTTCGTTCCTCTCTGAGTTCAAGGTTTGGCTCTGACGGTTTCTCCGGGAAGATCTTCCCCCCCGGGGAACCGATTGCCTGCCTTAGTGGGGTTTTTTCGCACGTTTCCCCACGGGCGCAGCCATTGGCGTGGCGGCTGTGCCTTTGCAAGTGCTTCCGCTGTTTGCGAGCGGCTCTGGTGGTGGTC